TGTCTGCTGCAGCACACCTCCTGCTGCTGTCGCAGTGCTGCTCACCTCTACGTTCTCTACCAACATCACTTCAATATCGCTAGGAAACAGTGCACATAAAATAAGCAAAGCATTTGGAATTGCTGCTTGGCAAAGTCGCGCTTAATTCACCAGTTACAAATCAGCCAAATATAAATGCGTTTTTTCTGAGAAAGGACATTGGGTCTGACCCACAGCACTTCCTCGTGCAGGTAATTCTCCTTAAATACATCTCAATGAAATCAGCTTCACACATATTTTCTAAAATCCAACCTCAACTGCATTATCACACGGGGGTATTGAGAGGTCGAGCTACCCTTCACTATCAGCATAAAAGCAGAAGATGGAGCTAGGTTCAACCAGCTTCTTCAAAATATATTTGGTTTTAAAATTCTGCTCCAACTAGGGCACGTGGCCTTGCTTTGGTGAAAAATCCTTACATATAGCACTCTCTTTATTCCTTCCTTCTCATGGAAAACTAAGCTGCTCGTGTCAGCATGGTCTACTCGCTAAAGTCAGAGTGGTTTCACTGGGTTTCAGTACTGGTCTTAAGACAGGCAGAAGCTTCCACAGTTGCATGAGAAACAAAGTGGCCAACTTCTTTACAGTTCTGTGTGCAAAAAGGGAACTGCACAGTCACTAGTGCCATACAAGTTTGCACATGCACCTGAAATTTTCTATGGTATTAGTACAGTGACTACTATTACTACTATTAATCTCTCCAAACCCTTCACTCGAAAAAGGCCCAAGAAACTCATTTCACATTTTCAACACTAACAAAAATACCATAAATGAAAAGACCATCTGTGTTCTTCTGCCCTGGAATAGCAAAATATTTTTTGACCATTTGAAATGACTTCTGAAGAACTTGTGTTTTAATTTTTTGTAGACTTTTACAGAGATTTCAGTCAACAGCTGGGGTGATCAGAGCTCAGTGATTTAGGTTTTACTGTGCAATGCAGGCTCATTTTGTTTCCTGTCCTCACAACGCAATGACGCTAACCTCTGAAGACCATCTACAACTCATAACAGACAAAGGGACCTTCTGTCCCTCCCGTCTAGCTGAGAGAAACTTGGCTGGATCCTCTCTGCACTTCAGCAGTTCCTAGCTCCATTCCCAAGCTGGGTGGGCTGGCAGTAGCAGAGGTTTTCGGACTGCTCCATCCAATGCTGGGCAAACAGCCTGTGTTCGGGCTGCTCAGAATCAGGACGGTCCTTTTACTGCTTCGCGCTCCTACTGACACTGTGACTATAAACCCTGCTCAGACTTAGCCTGATATGGTGAGTACTCATAGCACAAGTGGTGGTAAGTTGATTATATACACAAAGTTTTCAAAGCTACATCCCTTTGCCTCAATGAGAAAGTTGCATATTTGACTCAAAGTGCATTTTCATTTACTTCAGTATTGGCTATGATCATGTGGAAAACAAAAACCTTATTATGTAGGTATCTAAACAAAAGCACCCTCATCTGCAAGTATTGGCTTCTTTTTATTCTATCCAAATAATCATACTTGCTGCCATTTTCTGGGAAAACTGTCTTCACGGAGGATTTTTCACATAAATATATATATATAATTTTCTTCTTTTATTCTTCACTACTAAAGATCTAGCTGTATGGCACAGGATCTTTGCTGTGAAAGCACCCTTCTGCATCAGTGGAGATACTTCCTTTGACACTCTAAAGCTCAGAGAAACATCTGCAACAGCACAAAAGCTACACAAAACTAATCTTGTTTCCAACTTAGAATTCTTGTTATATTCATGGAAAAGCTCATCAAATGTCACAAATTTGGATGTACTTAAGGACATATGACACTTTTTTCATCAAAATCAATGTCCAAGTACTGCCAGTAATAGCAGAAGTGACATTTTATTTCAGAAGAATGTTTTCACGTTGTTTACCCCATTCACGATTAGTAGCTGCTATCATTTTAACAGTTATTAGCAGTGGATACATGAATAAATCTCAGCTGCAAACTAATAGGCTGAGATTTTTGTAGGTACAATAGGTATTTTTACAATAGGTATATTGTTATGCTGACATAAAATCATGTCTATTCGTATGTCTTCCCATACGATTTAGTAAGCCATATCAACTAATAACTGCAAAGGCTCCTCAGTCATACAAAAGGCTGATTAGAGAGACAGGCCTCTATAAAATGACACCCAGGGCCTGGGCAAGGTCCACGCCCACACTGGATTCACATTTTGCAGCATCTCCTCTCACTAGAAAGGACAGAAGTCAATCCTGGATTTGAAAATGCTGAAAAGTTTGGGGTACTTGGCTTCCTAATCACAACCCAATCAATAAAAGTGGGGCAAATCTTTAGATAAGGACAAAGGAAGAAAAGGACTGGTAAAGGAGAAAGGAAATCAATAAGATAAATAGATTTTTCTAAGCAACTGCATTAGACTTTTCCATGAGGTATCAACTATTCTTTAACACACAGCTGTATTGAACTTCTTATTAAAAAGGGTTTCTAAAGACATATAATTAAATGCAGAGGGGTTGAATATTGTAGAAAACAGCTATAGTTTTGTTGGATTTAATCCATTTAAATTTAATCCTGATTCAGTGTGAAACAGCAACATACAAAATACAAAAAAATAAAAGAATAGGGAATTATAATGGAAAGGCCAGCTCAACCTTAGCTATAGCAGTAATACCAACATTGCTAGAATACAAAAATTATAATCAATGCATCAATAGGCATGTATAATAAATATATTTAGTGCTTGATGTCTGTGGTAGACCAGTTGCTCAAGGCCACTAAAATACTAACTTACATCCAACACCAGCTAAATGTGCACGAACTTCAATTCAAATGAGCAACAGTGGAAATTTCTGCGAACTAGGCAGAATACACAGGTTGAAATAAACTTTCAACTTTGGAACATAATGTTAGTCTGCCCTGTGTCAGTGGAAAGACCAGAAACTTCTATGTGCATCCTGGAGGTATGTGGTTTAATCTGTGGTGCTGAAAAAGAAAAGTCATCAAAGACAATCTTGAATAAAATTGCAATGGGACAGACCATTACGCACACTTCTTTTGTCTGAAATCCTCAAAGCAATTCAGGTTTGAGGGCTTGGTTTTCTGCACACTCTTTGGATATCATAATTTTGGCCTTCATTACAGGGTAGAGGTTATATTAAATAACGTTTGGCTTGTCTTTTTATTATAACAAATCTGCATGTGATTTTGTTCAGTAGAAATTAAAAATGTGATGCTACATACTGGCATTGAGGTTGAGTTTCGTCAACCACAGAAAATAATACTTAGCTCTTTTAAATGCTTTTCATCAGAGAATATTTAAGTGCTTTGCTAACATTTGTCAAGTCTCACAACACCCCTGTGAGGTAGGTAAAATACATAGGAGGTGGAGGATTTCACTCAGCTTGGACATGATAATGTCTCTGGGCATTAGGTTCTCTAGCACTGCAAAACAGCACAAAGGTTTAGGGCTTACTATAAGGCAAAGAATTAACAGTACAAGAGCACAGCATTCGCTCTTCTTTTGGTTACACGCAGTGCTACACAGCACCAAACAGTGGAGCAAATGCCCACACAAGGACTTCATTCGCCCAATCCACAAACAGCACCCTCTGCACGGTAAAAGACACAAAGTGACAGGCTCAAGATGCGTACGACAGCTTAGTTATGGGATGTGTCTACCAGTTCATGAGGAGCAGAGTACCACAGGAATGAGAGCCCAGAAAACAACACTGTCTCCACACAACTCTGATAATATCTGAAGAAGCTTGGGTTTGGTTCTTTTTGCACAAACATTTCAATTCACAACTCACTGGGAATAAGCAACTGCAACCGTAAAGCATGTTGGTAACTTCCACACCTTGTGAAGCAAACAACCAGATAAAATGGTCATTCCCTACTTCGGCTGGCCACATGTTCCCAATGCACAGGGCCACGATGTGGTCAGCTGGTTGTGATAGGCTGGGACGGGATAAAGAAACACTGTTGTACATCTACATTCCCCCTCTGAAGCTGCTGCAATCTGCTTCCTGAAAACTCTCTGTATTTTTGTGGGGTTCTTCCTCCATTGTGTAGATAGGGGAGAGTGTTTGGCCCCCATCAGTTCTACCCTCAACACTCAGCACCAACGATGGTCATTGTACAAGCAGCAGTTCCACTGTATCACTGATCTTTCCGATTGAGAAAAAAGAAACAAACATACGATTAAGAAAAGTGTCACTCATCTAGAACAGTATATGTGAAATACAAGGAAACAGAAAGAAAACAGTGCTCTCTGTATTAATCAGTACAAATACACCCCCCCCCCTCTTTCTCCATATTTCACTTTTCTAAGTTGGCATAAATGGTGCATCACATACTTGCAAAAGTATTGCCCACAGAGAGAATCTGACCTATCAGAATAAATCTATCAGAATAAATCGACAGAGGCTGGTCTACCACATGCAAGACAGCCCTCTTGGGTAATTTTATGTCTTTCCATGGAAGATATTCTCCCTTTCTGCTAATTTCCTTTTGAATCTTATGTTTATTTATAGTACTTGTGCACTATCAGCTGCATAATTTCCTACTGCACAGGTTGGGTGACCCATCGTGAATACCCTTGCCTTGTAAAATTGCTGAGAAGAGGTGGTTCATGGATTCTGTGCAATCAATGCAAAGCTCCCCTCCCAAGGCTGCATATGTTCACAGCTAAAGCAACACCGTTCCACTGATCAGCAGTGAATAAATATATATAATTACAATATTATACTGCATGGATGACGTCCTTCTCTCTCATTCTTTCTGCCTCCCCCCCCCCCCCTAGCAACACAAAAAAATGATCTGGCATCTTTGTAATCATTAAGAGACAATCTGAGTGCTACATTAACTGGCAGCTAGTGGGAAAGCTAACTTTACATCTCATACTGTCACAAGTTGTAGGCCTTCTGCATTTCCTTTTTCTTCTTTTCCTTTTGTTCGTTGCAACACTGATGGTCGCAGATAGTCTTTGTGCTTTGTATAATGCCCATCTTTGACGTAACTGAACTCCAATACAAAATGTGGCTGTTATACATACGCATGCTAGAAAACAGGCAGGGACGGTACAAGCATGCACAAAATAGTCCTTGAATGTTTTTTTGTTTGTTTTTCTTCAACAGCTACATGCACCACTTAATATCATGTTTGGTTGTGTACACTGAGAACTGGATTTCACAAGCATTCATGATCTTCTCTTCTGAGGAGTTTCTTGACAATTTCACAAGACCCCAGTGTAAAAAAAAATCCCATGATTTAAAAAAAGGAAAATAAAACCTTCTCCCTGCAATCTGATCTTGTCTTCATGATTTTAATGTTGAACACTTCTAAAATGTCTCCTCTTCCTCTTGCAGAGCTTCATGTTAAATGGTCGGCTTGAAAGACAGATTAGTGTGTCAAGGATTTTCTTAGCCACTGGAATAGTTCTTCCTCATACAGCCTTTGCCACCGCACGTTGGCTTCCACTGTTTCCACGGCACGAGAGAAAGAGGCAGCAGCTCCCTCTTCATAACTCTTTATAAAGTTTTTTAGCTGGAAATACAAGTTAACATGTTAAATTTGCAGGAACTGAAGAAAGTAAATATTTCCAGTGCACACAAACAAGTCAGGCATTTAGGACAAACTTCCACAATCATTGTTGAAGTAAGTGTAGTACCGTGAAGAAAGATTTAATAGGAAATGTAATAAGACAGCAGACTGTCAATTATATGTGATGCAGTTGCTTCAAATTGCACTGGAAGATATTGACATGTCAGTGTTGGATCACATTAATATCATTACCTCCTTCTCTCCTGTAGCCCAGCTGGTGCACTGTGCAGACAGCTGCGCTGCTCTAAACTTTTATTTCTATCTAAGAAACCAAAGTGGGAGCACTGGAAATGCTTCTAATTCAGGCTTATATGCAAATACCAGCAGAAGGCAGCCCCAATGTTCTTTCATTTTATCAACCTTTATAACAAATTTATTTCAGTTTGATTTGCAAAACCCTTTTGATGATATAGTACAGGTTGGTTGTTTAGAAAAGGAAGAGATGGTTACAGCGTGAAGAGAATGGCAAAATAGCAAGTGGTCACTCATTTAATGATCTCTGAATGGCCGAAACAGATTTCTTCCTTTAGAAAAAATCTTTGATCTGTTTTCAGCAGACTGAAAAAGGTCCCTGCTCTGTTCTTGTGTATACTCAAATTATAGCACTATCACCTGGATTATTATAGCGATGTCACTGTTGTGCCTTGAATTACTGTTCCTTTTAAGTGAGAACTGCAAGGCTGATGTGCACAGTGGGTTGCTGGTTATGTTGACTTCTATAAAATTAGGTGATTTTAGCAACACTTACTCACAACTAGTTAATTTTTGTTTCCTGGTGACACCAAATTCACCTTGTTTATTTAAATCTAACTTCCAGTAACATCTCTTTGTGCATGGGCTCAAATCTGAAATGGCTGATCCTGCAACTATCTCATTCCCATCACAGTTAAAAGCATGGGAGGCACCTGGAAACTATCGAAATCAGCCCTTACCTGATCTCTGTACTTTTTACACCAAAAGGTTTACATGGCCAGTTTCTTTCAGGGGAAGTGTAAGCAACCAGCCTGCCAGTGCTATCATGGAGCTGGAAACTAAGAGCACAGAAGGCTTCCTTGTGTAGTGCAGATACTCAAGTCTGGCCAGCACTGTCCTTCCCACCAAGGCAGCTTTGAAGAAACCACCTGCAGCTCTTCCCTAAGTTCCTGAGGCCACTAGACTTGAATGCAGACAAATGATAGGACACAAAATACCATAGCGCAATCAGAGTTCAATTAATGGTGATTATGCTGCATAAGAACCATTTGATCCATTTGGGGTAATGTTGTGCAGCTGCTAAGCAGAACACAACCGCACAACTACCTCATTCGGGGCAGACGTTAAGTTAAAATGAGAAATCTTTGTAATCTAAATAAGAAGTACTTAGCATTTAGAACAAATTATTGCGATGTAATTTGGCCAGAGTATCAGGTTAACATTGGCCAGAATATCAGGTTAACAGCTTTTGTTACATAAAAAGACTGCAGGCAAACAAAAAGCAGAGTATGCACTGGCAGCTTCTACTTTCAACCCTGGGGATTTTTAGGGCTGCCCTCCGCAGCATAAACTAACGTGGATAGAAAGATCTCATCTTTAGTTTCTCAACCAATAGCCAAGAGAAAAAAAAACAAACCTACATATCCAGCCAAGCAGAGAGAAGTTCCGGCACTACCCACCTCCCGACACCACCTCTAACCACTTGGGTACCTTTGCAATCTGCTCCTCATCCTCCAGCACAGGCCTGTGGCTCCAGCTCAGCAACCAGCGTTCCCAGACAACCAACACCTTATTGCTCCTGCCCTGCTTACAACAAATACAGCCTCACATACTGAAAGTCATCTAAAAATTACCTCTCTTAGTTCTTCTTCAGTATTGAGAAATTCTGTGACCCCACTGATAAGCTTCGAATTCATAAATAATGCTTCTCCATACCTGTAAGGGCAAAAAGAAGATGCACAGAGAGTTAGTGCAAATGCTTGGCCAGCTGAAAATCATAAAGTAGCCTTCTGTTAGCAAGGAAGAAGACACGGGAGCGATTGCGTGGATCCAAGGGAAAAGTATTGGAATTGGACACTGGTATTCCAGTGTTTCATGCTAAAAATCTGGACTGAGACCTTCTCCTAGGCTGAGTTATTTGTAGTTAACTTTTAGTTGGATGCTACTAAGCAGAATGGGCTTAACAGCAGTCACAGATGAGAGCTCCAGAGGAGGAGAGGACCAAACCACACCACCACCTCACACTTAACAAAATAGCTTTCAATGTAATGATAAGAAGCAGCTCAAAACACAGGCGCTCAAGAAGGAGCGAAGCGGTAGCTATGGAGAAGTATTCTGAGGAACCATTCTAGCTGTACCATTAAAACAGACTTTTTGAAGTGCTGCAGTCTTCTCTGCGTTTTGTATTCATCCATCTCATCTACATTACAAACAGCCTTGAGAGAACTGAACTGCATCAAATTCTCTTGTTCCACTACCTGATAATAAAAATAAAGAATACTGATACAGAAAAATACTGCCAAAATAGTCCCCTGGGCCATGATGTAGCATCTTCAAAGGACCAACCTGGAATGAAAATTTGAAAGCTTCGGCCAGGAATATTTAAAGGCCAATGTATAACGGGGCAGGATATTCAGTAGCAATCAGCAATGACCCTCTGCAGGTAGTTGCTCTGAAACTGGCCATTCAGATCCTGCTGTTCCTCTTGCTTTTCCCCAAGTTCTTTTTCAGTCCCTCAAAGAAGCATCGATTACCCAGACTATTCCTGAAGTTTTGCATTTCATATTGGAATAGTTCGTGGGTTTGGGGTTTTCTTTTCCAGTCTCTAGTATGGAGAATGTAATTCCATTAGAAACCGACAGCAAGTCTTTTATTCCAGGTAGATGTCGTTCAGCATAGCACTAGGCAAATAGTTATCTTTATCTGCACATACATCCAAAGCCATATCTAGCTAATCTGGACATGACTGTTTTTAAGATAGGAAATCCAGCTCTCCTGTCAGACATCTATAAGTAATACCAATAGACTTCACTGCAATTATCCAGGGGAACAATTCAGTTCATACCTCGCTTTTACAAATTGATTTAGAGGAGGAACTCAAAATTCAAAGTGAAATGAACTAGCACAGTCACAGCTTTCTATTCTGCTTCTATTAACCCTAAATCAATTACCCTTAAACGCTTAGGTGCTGTAAGCCACAGTCTGTTCAAAAGGGAGAAAGAAAGAGAAAGGGAGAGGGATAGCCCCAGGGAGAGGGATAGAAAGAGGGAGAGGGAAGAGAACTGCGTTTTCTTTGAGCAGATTCTGTTTTAGGGAAGGTGTACACTGTATTGCTTGCTACCTTGAGCTTGTGTGAGGGGAAACACAGTTACAGGTATCAAAAATCCCACTCTCTGACCACTAATAACTGAATTATTCATGGATTTTTCAGTAAGTACATCTCTTTTTCCAAAACTTCAGTCACACTGGCATATACAGACACCCAGAGGCAAATGCCTCCTATGGGAAGTATGGATTTCATGGTCCTTTAAGCACGTTTAGGCTTTCTAACAAAGCCCTTTATTATTACAGTCGCAGCTTAGCCTAATAATTGACTGCTTGAAAAACTGGAAGCTCCTCTTGATGGGGTCCTTTGACAAGGTTACCAATTCACTTTACAGAAGCAACCTCATAAAAACAGCTGCAGGGATTTTATTTTTCTTGCAGTCTGTACTGTAGCCACAGTGCAAACAAGAAGTAGCAGAATTCCTTCCACTGAAAATGACACCTTCATGAATACCCGTGCTGATTACTGCCCATTATGCATACTTGGTAAAAAGTCAGCCACTAACAGCAATTTCTAAACAGGCTCTGCTGGCAAAAATTCTAGAAAAGCTACCTCCCAAAATAGAATTTTGCAGGTGTGAAACAAAGGAATAAACAGACAAAGTGTTTGGTTTTGCAAGTCTCAGTCTTCCCACCCTTCACAGGAAAGACAACAGCACTGCAGAACCAGGACCTTACATGCCTGATCTCCCTGGAAACATCCTGGAGTCACAGGGTCTCCACCCGCTCCTTTGCTTCTGGCGATGTGAACCTCCAGTGCCTCACATTTGTACAGGCTTTGCACTTGTGCAAACTCAACCTGAGAGGCAGCGTAGTCCATTTACTCCAGACAGGTGTAAATGGCTTCCCAAATATTGTCAAATTCCAAAATGCTGACAAATGTTTCAGCGCTTGAGGATGAAGGAATTCTTATAGGCAGCTGTTGGACTAAATATTCATGCACAGACACACACATGCACACACGATGAAAACAATTTAGGAGCCAAGGTAGTGCATGCTCAGGTAACAGGAACTCAAGCATAGTATTTTCAGTTCTCTTCTTCAGAATTTTAGCAGTCTTAGTCCCATGGATTTCTTACGAAAGGCTTGTTATGCACCTCTCTTTCTAAGCCACCTTTGTAAATTGGATATGACTGATTTTGAAGACTTTCTACATTATCATTATCTTCTGGACAATGTGAATGCAAGCATACTGTAAAAACACTACGGGACAGCAATATTTTATTGTCATTCTAACTCTTCAACATGCTGTGTTTTAAAGATAGAGGAAATAGTGTTACAGTATAATTTAATCACCCTCAGCTATTTCATATTACTATCTATCTCAAACATCAACACCTTTTATAATAAATTCAATGGAAAATACCATTGAGATATCACCTTATTATATTAATGTTACATCCAAACTATTTTAATTTTAAAGAAAATTAAATAATAAATTATAGTTGTAGAAAAAAGATGCCTTGAGACAGAGTAGACTTGAACTATAATTCTGCAATCAAGTTTGTATTTTAAAAACGTACTAGTGCAGCAAGCTAAAATCAGAAGCCTAATTTTGCATTCTATCATGTCACTGTTTCACTAAGCATTAAGGGACACAGTGTTAGACTAATTCCATCCTCTCAAAGTCTCCCATACAAGGTTTTAATCTATAATTACAAAACAAAGTTATTTTTAATATGCTTCACATATATATAGCTTGCATGAACTATTTTATTCCACCGCACTGAATATTTTGGTGTCTAATGGAAACTCAACTGGATGTTTCTTTCAGACAAATGCAACTGCTACAATCCTTTTGGTCACTCTGTCTTGTGTTTGGAGATCAAACAGAATGTAGATAACATAAAGTCAGTGCTGAGCAAAAAGACAGACTCTCTGCTATTTTCTCCTTAAAAAAAACACAATAAAAGGTTATTGATGAGGCCTTGTTGATTGTTACGAAGTCAGATAACACAGTGATGCATTCCAAGCAAGTGACAGAAACAAAATTCAAATTTTAGGTGAAGTTAAGCTATTTAAAACTAAAACAGACAAAAAATTTGGCAAGTGGCATAGTTCTCTAAATCCTTTCTACACTGCTTAACCTTGTCCACGTCGAAAATCACAGGTATTAGCTAGGCTGTCAGATGAACATATTTGGTAAGGCAGGACACAACTTCTGCATAAGTGTTTGTAGCAATACAGATTTTGACAGATTTATGCCTAAACTCTGTATAAATCCCTGGAGGAACTTGAAAAATTATTTGCTAGCCAGAGCATAACTAACTGCACTGGGTTGCATGAAAGTCTGCCATCCACTTTCTATGTAAAAGTCCAGTTCCTAGAATCACAGAATCACATGATGGTAGGGGTTGGAAGGGACCTCTGTGGGTCATCTAGTTCAACCCTCCTGCCGAAGCAGGGTCACCTACAGCAGGCTGCACAGGACCTTGTCCAGGCGGGTCTTGAATATCTCCAGAGAAGGAGACTCCACAACCTCCCTGGGCAGCCTGTTCCAGTGCTCCGTCACCCTCAGAGAGAA